ACCAAAAGAGTTCAGCGTGACTATATATTCTGTTTTGCATTCAGAAAACAAAAAACCAAAACATTCAGACACATTTTGGCTCTTATTCCGTTCATCATTCACACACATCAACGAAAGAGATTTACAATTTTGGCTTACCTTCAATGCACTAAAAGTGCATTCAACAGAAAAACCTATAGAATATCAGAGACTATCCCTAATTAGAAGCTGGTGGTGGTGCACAAAAAAAAAAAAAAAAAAAGGGGGGGGGGGGGGGGGGGGGGGGGGGTTTACAGAACGTACTATGTTGCACGTGAGCTTTTAAAATATAGTGTTTCCATCGTTTTTCAATTTATTCTAATTTGGAATGAAACTCAAAGATTTTGAGGAAATCGTTTTGCAAAAGTTTTTGAGTATCACAACAACAAAAATAATGTGTTGCTATTTTGATTGAATAAACAAATAGAGTCCATAAATCCTAGACTAAGGAGTACTAATATTAATTATCATCAACATAAATCATAAATGTGGAAAAATAAGGTAAGAGATTAAGGGTGTTTTAGAGCACCTTTAATTTTAAAAAATGTATTATGAAATAGTAGATTGATAGAAAATGTGTGATTAAAAAAGTAGGGAAATTTTTTGATTTACTTGTAATATTATTTTAATTAAAAATATATAATTGAAAATGAGTATTGTAAAAAAATGATGTGATAGAATGTAAAATAATATGTGACAAACAGAAGCCAAATTACAAGAATAATACAGAAGAGGATAACTAATTTAAGCCTTGTTTGGTAGAGGTTTTTGAAAATAGATTTTGTGATAATTGATTTTTTTTTAAATTATTATTTTGGAATGTGTGATTGAAAATGATTTTATGAAAAAAGGAGTTTTAGAAAATGGGGGCCAAATAAGGTTTAGTATTCTTTTTTTTTTTTTAACACATTATATATTAATGACATTTTATTAATGAAAATAATTTAGATCCAATTTAATAATTGAAGGCCTATATTGGTGATGAGAGAAGGCACATATCGTTAGTTTGAGTGAAGTTTAGTTGAATATGAGTGTGTTTTGGACTTGAATCTGGCACTAGAGTCATGTTCATCTCCGAAGGGCGTCACATTGGCATCCAAAATACTTCTATAATAACATTTATGGTTAACATTAAAATGTTGGGACCCTATTTGACCTTGCAGGCTAATGTACTAGGAAGTCATTAGACATTAAGCTAGCCTATGGCTAATCCTAGTTTCCAGGCTCCTTTCAAGTCGACTCAATATACAGGCTCGTCATCGTCTTTTTTACAGGCAAATAGAACTGGCAATTGAAGATTCCATTTTGTATACAAAAGGCTTTTGGCCTTGAATTCTTTCTATTCAAGTGTAATGTGAATAGCTCCTCCTCACGTTGAATTTCTTGGCTTGGCATTCAAAGAAACTACACCAATCTCTTATTTGATAAACTAGATTACATGGCTTAACCTCGAAAGAGTCGTGATTTTGAATCTTTAAGAGGTGAATGTCCGTTTTGAAAGTGTTAGGTACTTGAATAAACAATTGATAAAATAATTCATCTTTATCTATTTGAGCAAGAAAATTTTACTTCAATATATTATCTAAAATGTGTAACGATAAGTTTTATTGAGTTTTGCTATTGTACAAGGGTTCTATTGACGTAAAAAATTGTTGATTATGGTTTTGAGCCAACTTTCAAAAGAAAGTGCATTTTTATTAATAATGAAGGTTAGAGTTACATTTTTCTCGTGGTGGTGGGAGAAATTTGTCCTTTGAGCACTCCCTCTGGAGGGGACCATCCCTCTCTTTTTATGGATGTGATTAAGCTATATTTTCCTAAAATTATGTCTTGTCAATCTAATCAACCACAATGTCGAGCTTGATTTGTGTGCCGTCGAGCTTGACCTTGATTCGTTAACGAGGTCGGCTACCATCAAATCATAATAATGGCCCACTTTTTATCAGGGAATCATGACTTGCTTTTTGCATAAATAGTTATAGTAGATAATTGGTGGGTTTGAGCGGTGCTGACGTCACTTCTTCCAAGTGTGTCTGATTGATTGGGTGATTTGATAAAGTATAAGAAATCTGCAATTATTATGCCTATTGAGATTGCGGCGATCACGAGATCGAGCCGATCTCGCAAACCCGACCTTCCATGGAGACGAGATAGGCCCAAAATATATTTTAAGTAAGATCAGAGATCGATGGTCAAAAGGTTTCAATAAAAGGCAGCAGATCGGGATTGAAGATGAGTTGTTTAGCGGAGGTCTCGGCCTGACATCCCATTATCCTCCTTTTCATTCTTATTGTAAGTTGTCAAATCAAAACTAGGTTTTAGAAGTTCAAACTTATTATACATTAGTTTTTGAATTGGAATTTTTAACTCCAAATTGTAAGAGACGTTTAGATTTAAGATAGTCATATGTTGCATTTTCTCAAATCTAGCTCAAGGATAAGATTTCTATCTCAAATTTATACTCCTCCATAACAAAGAAAGCTAAAAGCTCTATTTATTAAGTGATAAATATCTCTCGCCGAGAAGTTGACTACCATTTCTACATTCTTATTTCGTTTTATATTAAAAAGAGGTTGAATCTCAACCTTGAGGGCCCCCACTGTCCTGCTCCTAGAACTTTGTGAGGGAGGTAAATCGTGGGATGTGTCCTAGCAGGCTAGGGAACAAGAGCTGCTTGTACACTGCGCCTACAAAGAGTCCAATTCCATATCTCAGGAATCGAACCCTCACACTGCGGCTGTCAGTAAGGCGTGAGATAATCTCACTCCTATCCTTTGCACAACTGGGCTATGCCCCGGGGACTTATTTTGTTTTTTTATTGAAACTATGTCAGATCGAGCATTTTATCTAGAGTTTCACGTAGGCTTGGAACCTTTGAGTCCAAATTTAATCTAGCATTTTATCTAGAGTTTCATTTTTATTGAAATTCAAATTTTCAGGTATTTAGTAAATAGAACTATCGGATCCAAATTTAATTATGGAATCGTTCAGGTTCAGTTCTATTCGACTCAGTACGGTTCAGTTCCATTCAATTTTTGGGTTCTATACAATAATCATTTTTTTCAATATTTACAATAACGCTATATTAATTTAACCAATGATATGTTCAATCTAGCTCTTACAAAATAATGTAACCTAATCTTATATATCTTTTGCACCATTTTTTTTGTTAAATTCTTCATATATTTGATTGTTAAAATCACATAAAGAGGAAGATGGTGAGCTTACAATAATGAAAAGAGACGTGATCGAGCTTCCAATTCAATTTCTCCCGAACTATAGAAACAACGCTACGGTAAAATAATAAATTTGGGAAAAACTTATGTCAATTTTATTAAGTTGAGCTTGGTTGAAATTTATAAATATGAAAATCATACTTTAGATTTAGGCTAAATTAATTGGTTAACAAATTTATTAAAAAAAAATAAATTGACTTATTGAAGATACTAAATTAAAAAAATTAAGGAGATTCAATTCTTTGATTTTTAATCTAAAATCGAGAACCGAATAAAACCCTTTGGTTCTCTATTCGGATATTCATTCGGGTATTTAAATTAAGAAAAAGTGCTCGATTCGATTCAATTTGAGTCGGATTTGATTCGATTCGAGAGTTTTGTCCAGTCTTAATTTCATGCCATTTTTCTCTTGAAAGGGAAAAAAAACTATAAAAGAAACTAAACCTACAAATTTCTTTTTTATGCCCTTGTTTGAGCCCAATTATATTCATAAGAATGAATTTTTGAATAGTGTATTGATGAGAAATGTGCTGTTAAAAAATAAAGAAAAATTTTGGATTTATGTATAATATTATTTTATTAAAAAATATATGATTGAAATGATGTCAAAATACTGTTTAAAAATGTATTTTTTTTTTCAAAGAATGACACTCATACGGGGGCTATGTATCAAGAGAGAAATCCACACAAAAATTATTCTAAAATAGGGTCCGTTTGATTGCAAAAATAAAATTTGGATGGAAAAAAACAACTTCCAAGGAATTGAATTGCCTAATTTTTTTTTTTGAAAATTATCAATTATTATATTTGATTGATATAAATTTTCACGTGAAAAATGTTGAAATAAAAATATTTTTTGTTGTTTGTTTGACTTTGTTTTACATAAAAATTGTCAATTAAAGCGATAGAATTTACTGGTATTGGGGATAGAATTTGTTTCCATTGTAGAAAAAAAGCCAAGAAAATCATCTATATTTTGATGTTCGTTTGGCTTTGTTTTACATAAAAATTGTCAATTAATGAAAAATATTTTTTTTATAATTAGGGATAGAATTTGTTTCCATTGTAAAAAAAAAAAAAAAAAAATAGCCCAATAGTCTAGAAAAATCAAGAAAATGTCTAGGTATCAAGGAAACCAAGAAAACAAGTTCCATGGAAAAATTTGTCATCGAACATGACAAAAGTAGGAAAGTAAAATTTATTTTCCACTTTTCATGAAATTTGTTACCAATCAAACATGGCCTTAAGTTCATTTTTTCTTCTTTCATTTTTCATCTTTAATCTTTCAATCTACAGGAACCTTTTCAAATATCATATGATAATATCTATCATGAAAATCAGCCAAGATTGTGGCATAAAGTTTTGACAAGAATTGGTCCCCTCACCTTACCACCATCTCCATACCCGCACGGTCTACATTCTTACCCCTATGTCCATTAGTTTTTTACCAATTAGTTTATTTTGGGCTAAAGGTACAGCTCAAGTATGGCCCAAAAGCTCCTATCTACAAATTCAATAATCTCTCCCAATTTGTTAATGTTACACCAAATTGTGCTATTACCAGATCAAGATACAAGTTCCATTGCATGCTGTACAATGACATTTTCGTGTAATAAAATCATTCTTTCTCTTTGATAGTCATATGTAATATTTATTTTGATGGTCCGTACTCTGACAACGACCACTGAAAGATGGTGGCACATGCTTCCTGTCAAGTCATTTCCCTATTAATGGTCAAGATTCCTCCATACGGTTTGATCAACGGCTGTAACTCACCTTTTCCCAGATTGAGAGAGAGAAAAACAGAGTCACTGAGCCATATGCATAGTATCAGCAATACACAGTATCAAATACATGCTCATACATCTTTCTCTGCTGGGGTGACTGTTATCAGGTCGACCTTGGTCGGGTGGACTATAAAAGAGAAGAAAATCACTCTGAGAGATAGCGATTGGTGAAGAAAAAGTTCAAACTTTCAGCTTCAGCTGACTGTAGCTCAAAAACCTAGAAAAAAAAAACAAACAAAAGGGATTCTTTTGTCAGTAATAATTATGGTTTTGTTGTTGAAGAGAGAGGAGTTGTTTGAGTTGGGTTAGATTTTCTTGGATTTTGGGTTTATTAGTTGAAATCGATTGTTTCTACTGAGCTTTTGTTTTTGTTTTCTTGGTGGGTTTGTTGTAAAATTAGTGATAGTGAAATGCATGTGAAGATTTGAGTTGGGGGAGTAAAAGATGGGGAAGATGAGAGAAGAGCTGGAGCTGAAAATGAGTTGGGATTTAGGGTTTGAGATTTTTGGGATTGAAAGTAAGGTTTAGCATTTTCAGTATTTATAATTGTGTTCCTAAGTGTAGTTTTAGTTTTATTATTATATTATTGATCATATATTTAAGCAGAGAGTTGAATTGAATATGAAGCTTTCAACATCAGGGATGAGTCAGCAAGTTCATGAAGGTACCTGTTATGTCTCTTAAGTGTTCATTTTTGTTCCTTGTTTTCTTTCTTCAACTAGATGATGAAATTCTTAATCTGAGTTTTATTTCAAAATTAAGAAAATTCAATAAATAATCAAGTTAAATTGTGGCTAATGGGTAATTGTTTGTTGACTGTGGGTTATGGAAGGGGAGAAGAAGTGCTTGAATTCCGAGCTGTGGCACGCCTGTGCTGGTCCTCTGGTATCCCTGCCGACAATTGGGAGTCGTGTGGTTTACTTCCCTCAGGGTCATAGTGAGCAGGTCTTTATTACTAATCTAATTAAACTATGTTTTCTTCTTTCATTTGTTTGATTAAGATGATATTATATTTTAGAAATGACAATTTCTTAGATTGTGCTGTATCCTATTCGAAAATGTTGGCCAGGTTGCTGCCACTACTAATAAAGAAGTTGATGCTCACATCCCAAATTACCCAAGTTTGCCACCCCAGTTGATCTGCCAACTCCACAATGTTACAATGCATGTGAGTTTTCAACTTTATAATTACATTCTTGTATTCTTGTTGTGCACTTACAGGTAATGGAGAGTTCTTAAGACATAAAAGAGCTTTGTTTATTTGTTCTACTTCAGGCAGATGTTGAGACGGATGAAGTGTATGCTCAGATGACACTGCAGCCCCTGACTCCGGTATTCTCTGATTAGATTAAGATTGTGTGATTCTTTTTTAACCTTTCTCTAATTATCATTGCAAATTGCTCATAGAACTAATGTTTTGTGACGTAAGTGCAGCAAGAACAAAAAGATACTTATCTTCCTGTGGAGTTAGGAACTCCTAGCAGGCAACCAACGAATTACTTTTGCAAGACACTGACTGCGAGTGATACTAGCACACATGGAGGCTTCTCTGTTCCTCGTCGTGCTGCAGAGAAAGTTTTTCCTCCTTTGGTAATGATGGTCCCATGATATGATCATTTTGACACTTGCATGCTGTAGTGATACATTTTTAAACTTTCCATTTGGTGCCTCAGGATTTCTCACAGACACCACCTGCACAAGAACTCATTGCGAGGGATCTCCATGATGTTGATTGGAAGTTTAGGCATATTTTCCGGGGTAAGTTCTAAAATGTTTTTGTTCTGTAGTCTTACATTTGTGCAATGTATATTACCATTTTTTTCATTGCAGTTGAGCCGTAGAGTGTATCAATCTGGACTTTTTGTGCAATTCGACTTGAATTAGTAATATTCTTTCTTAACTACGATAGCCAAGATAGTCACATCACACACATATGCTGCTACATTATGAGCTTCTTTCACACCACAAAAAGCTTAACAGCTTCATCGATTGTTGTGGGCAACTGTTGGTAGCTCAATATTAACAGTCTATGCTTGTATGTTTATTAAAGATCAAATGGAAACAATTGGCAAATGCTTATTTAAGGGGAAAAATGTTGGGTTTTATGGATCCACCTAAACTTGGGGGTTGGCAGTACCCCTACCATGTTCATGAGTTGTACGCTTAATTTGCATTTTATCCACACTCACAATTCCTAGTGATAAAGGAAAGTTACAGAACTAACTAAAATGAAAAAGAATTCATGAGGTAGAACCCTCCTCAGGGAATATTACGTAATTCAAACTAGTAACTATAAAAAGAAAAAAAAACCAATAAAAATGCTCTAACACAGCATGTTTGGTAAATAAGCTCCTATTGGTAAAAAATAAGTGATAATTAGCATCATCATCCATACTTATTTGCTTATTAGGTTTAGGTCCCACAATTGTCTTACCTTTGTCCCCAGTTTTTGTGGGCCCTAGTGTTTATCAGATAGCAACTTGGTGGCCAAATATGATCACAATTTCTTTTCCTAAAATAAATGTCAAAGTCCTGCTAAATAAAGTATTGATCCATTTGAACATTGCGCTGTTTTTATGAAGACAAGTGATGTAGTATCCTTAAATATCTGAATGAATTGCAAAGGGACACCAGAGGTTAAGAAGAATTCCAATCGGCAAGAAGTTGGGTTGGGGGTGCAGAGTAGCATTCTGCATAGCCTTGTGAATGTAACAGAGCAAGGAAGTGAAACCAATTATTTATGAACACATCCATGCTGATTCTTTTAAATCATCTCATCCAAAATAATGGATTCTTTACTATTCTAGGAAACTTTAGATTCTTCTTTTTGATCAATCAAAACCCCTTCCCAAACTGCACAAGCTTCTTTCAAAGCATACGACTTTCTGGATGTAGATGATGATATCTATACAGATAGATCTTTTATATATCGTACAATGAAGTACCACATAGTTATTGGAGGTGAAATGACTTATTAACATAGAAACTGTTTCACAAATCTTAGCTACTGTGGTTAATGGTATCTGGTGTGGAACCTAACTCCATAGTTGATGTTGTCTCTGCCCTTTTCTCTCTCTATTTGTGTTTTTGATTGCATTTCCTTTCATTCACATAGGCCAGCCTAAGAGGCATTTGCTTACCACTGGGTGGAGTGTGTTTGTCAGTGCCAAAAGACTTGTTGCTGGAGATTCTGTTCTTTTCATCTGGTGACTTCTGCCATTCTGCATTTCAGAATGCCAACTTCAATTTTCTCACCTTAAGTCTTAATGAAGTTTAATTCAAGATGTCATTGATTCTTTTTCAGGAATGAGAAAAATCAGCTCTTTTTGGGAATTCGTCGTGCCACTCGGCCACAAACTGTGATGCCATCATCTGTTCTTTCAAGTGACAGTATGCACATTGGACTGCTTGCTGCTGCTGCTCATGCTGCTTCTACTAATAGCTGCTTCACAATATTTTATAACCCAAGGTGGTTATAGATAAATAATATAAAATTCTATACATTTTATTTTGCTTCTTCTAACATGCTCATTACATCAGGGCTAGCCCATCTGAATTTGTCATACCTCTTTCAAAGTATGTCAAAGCTGCTTATCATACACGTGTTTCTGTTGGAATGCGTTTTCGGATGCTATTTGAAACTGAAGAATCCGGTGTTCGCAGGTACAATAATACTTGAATCTTCAGTATGCCATACATTGTTGTTTTCTTTCTATTATGATGATTAAACATCCTGAGTATTTGGTTAGTTGTTAACAGCACTTCATCTGGGAAGTGAAGAATAGAGATTTGTCATCATCTTTGGATATGAGGACGACAAACTGACCTGTATTGATAGTTTTGTTGCATTATGTTAATTCTTCACCACAGTTAACTTTCTAATACATCACCTACGTTGTAATTTCTCACTAGGATTATGAAGGGACAAACGGTTCTTCTAATGCTTGCCAAAATTACTGCAGTGAAATCGGTGGTGTGTTGAGAAATACCACTAATTTGTTATGGATTCTGTAGTATACTGAAGTTATCACATAACCTCTTCTGTGGTAGATAATGAATAATTGTCGTTAGATAAGTGAAACTGATATGTTGTAGGAATTGGATTATAAAATGTTTTGCATGGCTTTTTCTTTTTCTGGACCTTTGGTTTTCCTGTGCTTAGATGATTGCACGTCCAGGTACATGGGAACAATTACTGGCATTGGTGACCTAGATCCTGTTCGTTGGCCAAACTCTCACTGGCGGTCTGTCAAGGTACAAGCTACAAGGCATACCTTTACTGTGAAAGATATAATTGTCAAGTATTCTGCTCTTAATTTTCATTTATTATATTTTATATCACTTGAATGCACTTAGTGTTTTAGTTAAAGAGCTGAAAGTTTTTGTATGTTTTTTATCCCGTCAATTGCTCATAAAAGACAAGTTAGATAAATCTTTGCGTAACTCTGTCTTTTAATCTCATTTTTCTTGCTTAGCTACTAGAGTTGGTTACGTTAGTTTTCCTTTTGCACAATGCATTATCTGGATCAATAGATACAGAATTGACATTGGTGAATTTTCAAAATAATACTATAGTTAAAGCTCAATTCATGAAAGGTGGCTTTTGGTTCATTTGAGCCTTCTAACCATGTGGGCAACTTTTTTGTCACCCTTTCTGAAAGGATACCATCAGTTAGAACCAAAAGTCCACCCAAGTTCCAGCTAATACGGAGAATTAGGTGCTGAACTTTTTAGCATCATGTGACCAACTAACGAAGAACGCGGAATGGAATGTTTCCTTTCTATTCTCTCTTTAACAAGTAAAAAAGTCAAGTTGCTCATGTCACCAGAAATTTGTGGCTGATTAATCAAATCAAACAAGTCAACCTACTTTGTGTTGACATAATAAATAGCTTTGGAGACTTCCTGATAGATGGCTATTAAGGTCAGTGAGGACTTGAAAGGCGCATTTGACTTGTGTTCATAGTGTTCTGATGCTGAAAATCCTAATATGAGAAAGCTGTTTTCCATTCCCTTTGATTCTTTACTATTTCGGCTAAGTTTGGATTTGTGTGTTTTCAAATTCTCTTTGTGAGATTAATTATAAAACCATTTTTAATTTCAATTATTAGCACATGGATGATTGATATACACCTTCACCATATCGTAGAAGTTGCTAGAGGATTCACACCACAAACAACAACAAAGTCGCTATAATCTAAAATGCCTGATTGTATGCATTTTCTGCCCCCCCCCCCCCCCCCCGACA